CTCTCCCCAGCTCGGGGAAGGGAGCGGGGGCTGGTGGGTTAGAGCAGGGGGGCTGGGAGCCAGGACTCCTGGGTCCTATACCTGGCTCTGGGAGGGGAGTTAATTAACACCACCATCGTTCCCAGTGGCCCCGTGTGTGACCCCCGAGCCCTTAGGGGACCCCCAGGTCTCAGAGCGGGGGTCCCCATGTAGCTGTTCGGGTGGGGCATTGCCTGGCATCTCTGCTCAGCCCCGTTCTCCCCCATCCCACAAGCCAGGCAGCAGCTCCAAGTCCCTGGCATGGGGGCGGCTGGGCTGGACGGGGCCGAGGCCCTCACTGCTCTCTGGAGACTGGATCCCCACTAGACTGGATCCCCCTGGCCTGGATCCCCTCACCCTCCGCTGTTTGGTCCCCTCAGGGCAGACGGGCGCCGCTGGTCTCTGGCTTCCCTTCCCTCCTCTGGATATGGAACCAACACGCCCAGCTCCACTGTGTCGGTGAGTGTCAACCCCCCAGACGGGCGGGTAGGGCCGGCCGGCACGTCCACACAACGCTGGCCCAGTGCGGCGCTGCAGGGAGCGGGGCGGGGAGTCAGCAGGGGGCGCTCTCCTCACTCTGTCAGGGCTGGTTTCGGTGCAGCACTAGGGGGCGCTGTGCTGCAGTTCTAATAGGGCGTGGGAGTCTCTTTCACTTCCTCTCCGAAGCGGCGGTTAATTACCTGACACGCCCCACCCCAGAGGTGGCTGCACCTTGAAAGTCATATGAAAATTATCAGAGATTTATCTACAACCTCAGTGCCGGGTCCCTGCCTAACCCTCCTCTTTCTCTCCCTTCCTAGTCATCCTGCTCATCCCAGGAGCGGCTGCACCAGCTGCCCTACCAGCCCACCATGGACGAGCTGCATTTCCTCTCCAAGCACTTCGGCAGCACCGAGAGCATCACGGACGACGATGGGGGGCGCCGCTCCCCCGCCGTGCGCCCCCGGTCCCGGAGCCTCAGGTACTGCAGGAGCAGAGGGGACGCCCCCATCCCCTCCGGACTCCCCCTCCCCCAGCGTCTGTTCCCTTCCCCTGGGGCTGGGGTCAGCAGGGGGCGCCCTCCCCCAGCAGTCGATGCTGGCCTCAGTGAGGTTAGCGGGTGCTGTACTGCGGGAAGTGGGGGCTCAGGAGGGGGCGCTCTCCTCTCAAAGCCAGTGCTGACTCCAGTTCCCCAGCAGGGTGATCAGGAGAGGGATCAGGGCTTAGCAGGGGGCGCTCTCCCTTGTGCAAAGCCTTTCTGGTGTAACAGCTTCCAGGTCTCCACCCCAGAGGTGGCTGCATCTCAGCGCCGGGTGGGTGGTTTCTGGGAGGCGGGAGGCACTGGGGGGAAACACGGCGTGGGGGGGGCACGGAGATGGAACACCAAGTGACTCCTCCCCCCTCCCTGCCCTGCAGCCCGGGCCGCTCCCCCTCCTCCTACGACAACGAGATAGTGATGATGAACCATGTGTACAAGGAACGGTTCCCCAAGGTATGCGGGGGGCGGGGGAACAGGCCCTGAGGGCAGCACAGGGGACAAGGGCCCAGGGAGCAGGGGTGGGGGCCTGGGGGCCTGGCAGAGTCCAGCGAGCGGGGGCCCAGGGGTGCAGCAGGGTGGGGGCCCGGGGAGCACGGCAGCCCTGTGCCCTGGTGTGGGATTCGCCAGCGGGGAGGCCTGCGAGGTCCCTGCAGCGCCTGTGGGCGAAGCTCCCGGCTGTGAGTCTTTGGGCAAGGGGAGTCGGGCAGGACGGGCTGAGCAGGACCCCAGGACACCCCCCCCTCCCGGGTGGGGGTGTCCAGCCGAACCCTGGGGCGGGGGGGTGGTGGGTGTTTCCTTTGGGAAGGGAGCCCTCTGGTGGCGAAACGCTGTACAACCACTGACTGTTCCCATGGGGGATCCCGGGTGGGTCGGAGGGGGGACCCCGCCCCCCATTCCCCTCAGGGTCTCGTTCACCCCTGGGACCAAGAGACAGAGGTCTGGGGGGTCTAGCCAAGGTTGGGTTGCGACAGGCCAGGTGACGCCTTCGTTCCATCTTGGCTTGGGGAAGGGGGGAGTGGGGAATAGTGGTTAGAGCAGGGGGCTGGGAGCTAGGACTCCTGGGTTCTGCCCTGGCTCAGGGAGGGCAGTGGGGTTCCTGCTCAGAGCAGTCTGGTCTCTGGGGTAAACGCCCCCCTCCCCGGTGCCGGCTCAGTAGAGTCTCCCCATCCCCGCCCCCGGCCAGGCCACGGCGCAGATGGAGGAGAAGCTGCAGGATTTCATCACGGCCTTCGAGCCGGAGAGCGTGCTGCCCCTGGCCGACGGGGCACTCAGCTTCATCCACCACCAGGTGATCGAGCTGGCCCGGGACTGCCTGGCCAAGGCCCGCGAGGGGCTGATCACCAGCATCTACTTCTACGAGCTGCAGGAGAACATGGAGAAGCTCCTGCAGGACGTGAGTGGGGGGAGGGGCTGCCAGCGGGTGTGGACGGGAGCGGGCTGGGGGGTGATGGGGCAGTGGGGCTGTGACGGGAGCAGGTTGGGGGTGATGGGGCAGTGGGGCTGTGACGGGAGCAGGCTGGGGGGTGATGGGGCAGTGGGGCTGTGATGGGACGGGAGTGGGATGGGGGATGATGGGGCTGTGACAGGAGCGGGGTGGGGCAACAGGGGTAGGACGGGGGGTCAGAGGGATGCGATGGGAGCAGGAGGGTGCTGGGGGACATGATGAGGGCCCTGGGGATGATGCGAGTGGCGTGGGGCAGGAGGGCAGGCTCTCTGGAACAGGCCCAGGACATAGGGCCGGCATGGGCTGCCTCTCATCTCCCCCCGCCCCCCCCCAGGCCTACGAGCGCTCGGAGAGCCTGGAAGTCGCCTTCGTGACCCAGCTGGTGAAGAAGCTGCTGATCATCATCTCCCGCCCGGCGCGGCTCCTGGAGTGCCTGGTGAGGGCGGGCAGGAGCCCCCCACTCTGCTGCGCCCCACGCTAGGGGCTGGGGCTCTCCTCTGGGACACCCAGATCCCAGCCCTGCTGCCCGTCAGAGCACCGTGCTGCGAGCATCCCTGCTCTAACCCTAACCCTATGCCAAGCCCCAGCTCTAACCACTAGCCCCCGCTCCCCTCCCAGAGCCGGGGAGACAACCCAGGAGTCCTGGCTCCCAGCCCCCCTACTCTGCCCCCTAACCCCCACTCCTCTCCCTGAGCTGGGATAGAACCCAGGAGTCCTGGCTCCCAGCCCCCTGCTCTAAACACTTAGACCCCCAGCTCGTCCCCCAGAGCCAGGGGGAGAACCCAGGAATCCTGGTTCCTAGCCCCACTCCTGCTCTACCCACCTCTCTGACTCCATTCTGTGCCTGTCCCCATCCCCCCTGTGCCTGTCCCCCAGCTCCCCCACTCACACCCCCAGCCTGCCCCTACCTCTCTATGTTCCCCCCATAGCCATCCCCAAACCTGGCAGCTTGGATCACCCATGCCAGCCAATCGGATGGCACCCAGCCGGTCGCCCTGACAACAGCTGTGCTGGCCAGTGATTGGGCTGCTGCCTTGGCCCAATGGCGAGCAAGCTGGCAGCAGGGAGCGGTGTGGCATTGGCCAAGGCAGGTTGCTGATGCGGCCTGTTGCTGTGGCAACAGCCATCGCTGCCCAGTTGCTAGAGGGCCGTCATGGCAACAGAGACAGGCAGAGCCATCCTCCAGCTAGGATGTAGGTAGCCCCTCTGCCCTGCACCCCGAGAGCCTCAGCCGTCTAACTCGCCAAGCAGTGTGTGACCCCCGCTTCGCCCAGGGACGTGGGGCGGGGAGACCCAGGGGGAGGGTCCGGCAGCTTCTGACACGGAGACAAAGGACACAGCTCTGTGTGTGTGCGTGTGTGTGTGAGAGAGAGAGAGAGAGAGAGAGAGAGTCCCCTGACAAACACCCAAAATACATCCACGAACAAAGACACCTGAGACACAAACCACCCCCCCCAACATCCGACACACACAAGAAGAGCTCTGTGTAGCTCGAAAGCTTGTCTCTCTCACCAGGAGAAGTTGGTCCAATAAAGGATATTTCCTCACCCACCTTGTCATGCTACACATCCCAACACACATACACACCTGAAACACAAATACACCCCCACACACTTGACACCCACTCCCACCCACCTGAAACACACACACACGCCAACACATGTCCAAATCCCTGAAACACAAATACACCCTCCCCCACACACCTGAAACAGACACGCACAAATACCTGAAACGGACATAGAGACACACCAACACACACACACACCCAACACAGATGTGCACAAATGCCTGCAAGGCCTGACCTGACACACACACCCCACACCCCTGAAACACACAAAGGCACAAACACCTGATACACACTCGCACAGAAATGCCTGATGCACACTCACTTACACACTCGCCCCTGATACGCCTATACAGACTGATGCAAACAAGGGCACCACACCTGCTGTGCCCCCTGCTGGCAGTCCCTGGTATGCCAGTGCCCCGCTCCCATCCTGCTCGCTGACCTGGTAACCGCCCGCCCTGCGTGCAGATCTATAGTTGGGGCACCCCCCCCCCCAGTGCCTGCTCTCGGACACAAGGGCAGCCCTGGGGTGTCTCCCCAGCCCGCAGTGTCTCTATATGGGGGTGTGCCCCTGCCTGCCCGTTAGTGACGGGGCTGGGTGGCCGTGCCGGCGTCTTGCAGGAGTTTAACCCCGAGGAGTTTTACCACCTGCTGGAGGCGGCTGAGGATCACGCCAAGGAGGGACACCTGATGAAGACGGACATTCCCCGCTACATCATCAGCCAACTGGGCCTCACCCGCGACCCCTTCACAGGTAACCCCGGCAGGGGAGAGGGGCACGGGGACCGGTGCCCTCTGTGGCCAGGCCTATGCTGGCGAGCATGGGTGGCTGAGACTGCATGCGTGTTGGCATTGCACAAGTGTGTGTGATGGCATGTGGGTGTTTGCATGCATCTTAGCATGCACGTGTGCGTGACTGCAGGTGAGTGTGTGACTGCGTGTGTTAGCATTCCTGTGTGTGTTATTGCATGTGTGTGTGTTGTTGCACATTGGGGTGTGACTGCACATGTGTAAGATTGCACGTGGCTGCTTGACTGCATGTGTGTTAGCAGGCACATGTGTGTGTAATTGCACATTGGTGTGTGATTGTGTATTATCATTTTTGTATTAGCATACACATGTGTGTGTGTGATTGCATGTGGCTGTGTGACTGCATGTGTATTAGCAGGCACATGTGTGTGTTGCACATTGGTGTGTGACTGTGCATGTTAGCATACACCTGTGTGTGTGATTGCATGTGGGTGTGTGACTGTGCATTAGCAGGCATGTGTCTGTGCTTGCATTTCTATGACTACATGTGTGTTAGCATTCACATGGGTGTCTGAAGACATACATGTATTTGCAACTCTGTGCATATGTCTATATGCATATATGTGACTGCATATGTGTATGTATGACTGCATGTGTGTTTGCAGCCGCGTGTGTGTGCCTGTATGACTGCATGCGTGTATCTGTGTGTGGGCCTACACGTGACTACATTCATGTTAGCATGCACACGTGTGTACGCGCCTGCCTTGTCTGGGACTGGCTTGTCTATCCCTCGTGCATGTGTCCGTGTGTGTGTGTGTGTGTGTGTGGCTGCCCGCATTGCCCTTCCTTCGTTACTTGGGGGCTCCCGTGACCCCTCTCCTCAGTCCATGTTTCTCCCCAGACATGGTGCATCTGGAGGAACACGACAGCGGTGGATCCAACACGCCCGAGACAGACGAATTCATGGAGGTAAGTCCCCGCCCCCAGGTTTGCAGACAGCACGTGGCCATCAGGGCTCCGAGCCATGGGGGGTGGGCAGCATGTGACGGCTGGGGCTGGTGCCCCACAGCTCTGGGTCTCTACTGATGGGGCCATAATAATGTGGGGGACTCGCCATCCCACTGCCCCCTAGTGGAGGGGATTGGAACAGCCCTTGTGTGTGTCAGAACTGCCCCCGTGCCCTGGCCCGAGGTGCTGTAATGGGCGCCATCCCGCTGCGTCCCACTGGGTGGCAGTATGGCATAGGGCATTTGCCCACTCAGAGATACGAACGCACAACAGAGGCAACACAACCGCACTCCCACACAGCCACACAACGCCCAGACACCCGCACGCTCCCGTACAGGTTTACAGAGAAACACACACAGATTGGTGTGCAACATAATCACACACACCTAGACGGACACAACCCCGGAAACAGCACACACAACTCACCCAAGAGGCACCCACACACCTCCCTGTCACACCCCCTCCGAGAACCAACCCTCAAAACAACACAGTCCACCCCAGACACACACAGTCCAGCATGCAGCACAGTCACACAAGGCTAGAGGGACACAACCCCAGAATCAACCCACACAACCTGTGAGACACACACACTCACCACCGTCACACAGCTCCAGAGAAACGACCCCCAAAACAACACCCCTGCTGAGACACACAACTCCAGAAACACTCCCCATGGACACACATGCCACAGCCCCAGAAACAAACAACACGCAAACGCTGCCGACGGTCACACACCCCAGAAGGACACAGCCTGAGAAACAACATGCAAAGACACACACTTTCCGCAGACACACACAACCCCAGGAACAATACAACCCACCCCAGACACACACAAACACACTCACACTCCCTGCGGAGCCACCTCCCTCACAGACACACAACATCTGAAACACTACACTCCCCACAGAGCCATCAACTTGGAAATAACACACACACACACACACACACACACAGATACACAACCCCAGAAGCAACACACAGACACACTGGACACAGACACGCATACACAGACCCAGAAACAACACACCCCATAGACCCACTCCACCAGGGACTCCCAGCCCCACAGCTACACGCACAAACGCAACTCCCAGCCCCCTGCGCCCGGGCGCTGGGCCCAGGCTGCCCCACCTGGCTTTAGCCCAGAATGGGAACACCAGGCACCCGGTGCTCTAGGAGGAAGTGGGGTCTAGTGGTTAGAGCAGGGGGCTGGGAGCTGGTAGGGCCCGAGGGCTGACATGGGGGCTGGATTTGGGGGGTCGGGGCTCCCTCTTTCCCACCCCTACCCTCAGTGATGCGTGTGATTTATTCCAGGGCCGTGGAGCTGCCCTGAAACACAAGAAACCGCCCGGAGAAGGGGACTTTGAAACCATCAAACTTATTAGCAATGGAGCCTATGGGTGAGAGAGTGTTGGGGGAGGGGTTGAACCCTGACCCGGGGCCGTGGTCTGCACCCCTTGGGGGTCAGGGGGAGGCAGGAGAGATTTGGCTCCTCTCCTCACAGCTCCACTGCTCTGTGGAAGGGATCAGCACCCCCAAACCCGCCCCCAGGCTCACAGAGAATTTGAGGGGGGAAGGGAGAACCCTGGACTCCTGGGTTCTGTCCCAGCTCCGAGGCAGCAGTGAGGTTGAGCGGTTAGAGTGGGGGAGGACTGGGTGTCAGTCCAGGTTCTCGCGCCAGTCCTGGGAGGGGAGCGGTTAGAGTTGGGGGGTTGGCTCCAGGACTCCTGGGTTCTCGCGCCAGCCCTGAGAGGGGAGCGGTTAGAGTTGGGGGGTTGGCTCCAGGACTCCTGGGTTCTCACGCTAGCTCTGGGAGGGGAGCGGTTAGAGTTGGGGGGTTGGCTCCAGGACTTCCTGGGTTCTCGCGCCAGCCCTGAGAGGGGAGCGGTTAGAGTTGGGGGGTTGGCTCCAGGACTCCTGGGTTCTCACGCTAGCTCTGGGAGGGGAGCGGTTAGAGTTGGGGGGTTGGCTCCAGGACTCCTGGGTTCTCGCGCCAGCCCTGCGCGGGGCGC